CTCCACTACACACAATCACACATCCCACAAACACTGCACTCACCCCACATTGTCCCCCACAGCCCTCCCCATTTGCAGCCCCCCCCACACTCCCATGTGCATTTGGGGGGAGCCCTGCTTACTGTTATGCGCACACACCCCACCACATACACAGCCACACCCCTCACACACCCCCAGCCACCCTCCCCCTTCATGCACCCCACAGCCTCCCACAAACCCCATACCTACCCACACATTCCCACAAACACCACTCCCAAAAAAACTCCATACCCACCCACACACATTCACACATACCCCCATACCCTCCCTCACACCCCACATCCACATACACACCCCCACAGCCCACCACAAACCCTATACCCACCCATCCACCCCTCCACATCCCCACAATATACAAGAGTAAGACTTCATTTTGAGCTATTATGCAATCACCTCTATATACATGACATAAACACACACAAATCAGGACAAAAATATTTTAAAAACAAATTAATATATGTTATTATGGATGTTTGATTTTTAATGTATAATTTGGGTTTTTTTCCAGTTACAAGATGGCAAACCCCTTTCCCAAAAGCAGTACTTCTGGGGGTAAGGGGAGGGACTTCTGGTGGCAAAGATCAGGGATTAGGGTGCAGGACTTCCCATCTCAAGATGGCAACCAGGGGGCAAGATATCCATCAAGGGGTAGGGCTACCCTTGTGGCCCTCCACAGCTCACCATAACTCATTAAGCAGCCCACCAACCAAAATAATTGCCCACCTCTGCTCAAACCCAAACCGCTGCAACATTAGGCAAGGAGGCATTGGAAAGCAATAGCAGGATTGAGCAGTGTGAGGTAACTGCTTAGTACTACCACTTCCCTAGTGGCCTCATTAATTTAAAAAAAGCATATGAAATTTTTAGTCATTGTGGCTGTGTAGAAAATTTTCCAGGTGTGAATTAGTATCCTATGGTCTTACTTAGCCTTCACGGAGAGTGAAATGAGAGCTCAGAACCATTCCTGGTGATCACAGCACAGCTGGTTCTGAAGCATAATAACAATTTACTGGTTAACTTTGCACAGTTTGGGGCTGACAGCTTTAGCAGCAGCATGCAGCTGTTTCTGGGGCTGTGAACAGCTTGATGTTCTGGGAGGGAGCTGAGGAGAGGTAGAACTAATCTCCCTGTGGTACAGTTGAGGTACCTCTTCTGTATCATTTCACTTTGTTGTTCAAAAAAAGCTACCTGGTGCAGTTCCCACTTTCCTTGTTTCAAGTGCTGAGTTCTGGTAGGTGCAGGGGCCACATCTGAGTTCAAACAATATAGCTGGAAATGAATGGGGTGGGGAAGGGGGAAGTATCATACACTACTTACTAGCAAGAATGACCATGTCCATCCCCCAAAATATACTCATGATCCAGCCAACCATCACGATAGCCGTCAGGATCTGAATGAGAGCTGCAGCAATGTTCAACCAGAAGACACAGCACATGTGTCTGTCAGGGAGGTCAGTCCGGGCTCCGCACAGCACTGTGAAGGCAGACACAAATGTTCCTGTGGGAAGAACAGTAAAACCCAGTGAAGGCAATGGTGCTGAAACAGCAGAGCTGGGATGTTAGTCTTCTCTGACAAAGGGAAGCTACATCCAAAGTCCCTCACTTTTAAACTCCTATTTCATAGCCTTCTTCTGTTTGTGGCTGCAGTTACAGAAATGCTAAAAACGTGCAACTTTTGGCAAAATGTACCCTGGTGTCCAAAGATCTCAGAAGATGCTGATTCCTTCAGAGAAACAAAGGCCGGGGTAAGGTAAGGTTGCACCTGGAGAACAGGTAACTCTAGGAAGCTAAAGCCCAGCTGGAATAGCCCAGGTTTCATGGCTGTTTGGCATCCTCTGGGCTTGAAGGATTCAAAACACAGAGGTCTCTGGTATGGCAGGAAGCTAGCTGCCAGCATTGCCTTTGGCAAGGCAGCTTGGCTTCCCTTCACAGTGCTCTGGCTTTGCTTCCCCAATATCAACTTTCAGGAAGTTATCTGGTGCCTAAACTGTACTCAGAATAACCCTGGGCTATCCTGCATTTAATGTCCAGACAATACAGTGGTGACTGCTACAGAAGTGCATGCATTACAAATTCAGTAATAAAAAAAATCAGGGACCAAGTTATATTGAATTTAAAATTCCAGCCTTCCTTTGTTATTGCTTTAGAATAAGCAAAGCTGACACAGGCCACTCATTTCAGTGGGCTGAATCGCCACCTCCTTCCGGCCCTAAGAGAACCCCCAGCGCACACAGAGATGTTCTCAGTGACTCCTGCAAAACTAAACCATTAACTGTACAGTATCACCACGATGGAAAGTTTCTGCTTGGAAACTTGATGCAACTTGTTGCCAAAGATAATGTCTCCCATCCCTATGAAATTCTGCAAAAGTCCAATGGCATTCTCTGTGCTCTGCATTGACCTGTCAGCTAGAGCTACCAGCAGAGTTTCTTTTTTACATTCCCAATACCTGAGACAGATATGACTGTAATAGCAGAATGGGACCCTGGTTCAACTACTGTTTCTAAATCCAGTTCCAAGAAAATAATCACTGTGATCCACGTACTCTCTGGTAAATACCACTGTGTCACTGGTTCACGCCTGAGTAAGTACTGTATTTCTCAGAGAGCTCCAAGGATTCTGAGTCTAGTCCTTACAGCTGTGAGGGCTTAATCCAGCTCCCACTGAAGTCGAGGTGGGGGTTTGCCATGGGAACAGGACCAAAATCTTGAAAGGTCCAGTGCAGTACTTCTCAAAACTTGGGGTGGGGAACATACTCCTTCTTAACTGTATTATAGGATATGTACCCTTGTAGTTCCATGCCATGGATAACAGTGACACTTTCTGCTACGATAACCACACTATGATCTTGCCAGTGACCCAAAAGATACTGTGCAGTTCCTATTTTTTCCTTTTCCTCCATCTGTATTTCCTCTTTCCCCATCTTCTGCTTTCCCTTTCCTTCTTCATCATGAGTACCTGCTGGAACTTTGCTGCGTATCTATATGCATACCCTGTTTTGAGAATTACTAGTCCTGTAGTTTAAGTAGAGGCCCAAGAGTCAACAAATCTAAGATCTTTTTTCAACTCCATCACAGACTTGTGTGAATTTGGACTGATGTCTTAAGGCCAAATCCTGTACTGATATAAAACAGTAAGAGCGTATGTACTCTCTCTTTAAGAAAGATTATGAATCAGCCATGGCCTGGACTCAGTTCAGTTGGGGTCAAAGGGATTTTGGCAGATGTAGTCCTCAGAGGACCCTTGATAATTTAAAATATTACAAGGCCCCCTGGGAAAGAGTGTGAGAGCATAAGGAAAGAGAAAAGGGCTGGAATGAAGTTCTCCATTAACAGAGCTGCGTAGGAAGGGGCTGTGCGCAAACTTAAGGAGACAGTGTTGCACCAAGTGCAGAAGGAGACTGCATGTGAAGGAGTAGAGCCTCAGAAGGAAACAGAGTGCCAGCTTTGTGTTGTGGGGCCCACGGCTGGAGCTTTCAGAGAGGGTGGGAAGCCCCTGTCACTTGCCAGAATCACAAGGGCCAACTACACTGCTTAGTCCAGGGAAGGTGAAGGAAGCAGATGGCTTGGGAGGATAATTGGTTATTTCAGCCATGTTTTAACGGGGAGTGAAAGGTGTGGCCGGACCAGAGAGAAAGTAGCACGTACATCCTCAGTCTGTCGAGGTCAAGTCATGCCTGCTATTGAAAAACCTAGAACTGTTAGGAGTCAAGTGAGAGCCAGGCAGGGCTACAGGAGTATCCCTGCATCAAGTGAGCTGAAGGACTTTTGTGTCCTGGAAAATCCAAGGGATCATTTGTGGTCTTCCAGCTTCTCTATTTACCCTTCAAGATGACCTTCTGGCTGGGTGAAAGGGCCACCTTGTACTCCAGGAAAACTGGAACCCTGTGTTACTGTGCCACAACAAGGAGACAGCAAACCAGAGGGGAAACTATAAAACCAACACATCCAGTGCCAGAAACGTAAGGATTTGTACTACATCCTCTTATGATGACACTGGGTCCAACAATATTGTAGCAGGTGTGACTCAGGGCATGAAGTGCCATGTTCTGCTCTTAGTCCCTCAGCTTCTGCACAGGTGAGAACAAATACAGAGTGTAGGTGATCAATGGGGTTATTCTTTCCAATCTTTAACTTCTTCACCAGCTTAAATCCTTTGGCAGCCTGGGGCAGAGTTATATGGAGCTGTTGGTTTACACGGTGCTTAATTTATATCTGTGGAGGCAGGAGGCTGCTCCCAAAGAAAAGCTTCCACTTCTCTAAATAGGAGCAATACCTCATATAAGTATTAATAGGCAAACACATTAATATTTCATAGCACTCTCAAGTCTTCACAGAGAGTTAGTAGGAGACAGTATTATTAGTTGCACAAGGCTTGATCAGGAGGGTTTGGGCCATTTTCCTGCTTAAATTGCCAGCTGTTTTCTGCTGTGAGAAATCTCTGAGATGCCTTTAACTAACCAGGCCATGCCCACTTCTTGCCTAACACCTTTGCAAGTGACTTAGCAGGCAGTTTTCTAATCACCAGAAAGACATAAGGAGGGGAAAATAGTATGTTACTATTAAAAAATGTGGCTCCACAAAGAGTGTGCACAAGAAATGAGGTGCTAATGAGGTATTGTACCTCCACACAAGGCTTCCCAGGACTGAGCAGCACAGTTAACTGCTCAGCTGCTCTAACAAAGAATAAGAGACTAAATCAGCAGTCAGTGCAGAGTGATTCTGAGTTGCTGTCCCAGCACTTGGTTCAGGATGGGCAAAATTTTAAAAACTTATTCAAATTCCTTAATACACAACAGGTGCAGGGTTACATGGCACAGGCTGCTTTCTTGTACCATTTCTCTCCCCTGTTACTATAAAGTGGGTAATCCCTAAAGCATATTTTTTCACTGTTTTGTCTAATGCTAAATTTTTTAAAGAATGAGATCTTTTCAGTTTCCTATTGGAAGCTCTTCCACAGTTTGATAGTAGAAAGATTTCTTTTCTCCTGGATTTGCCATGTTGGATGAACATGCTTAGTTCATTAAGTCTAGTATCCTGCTTCCATCAGTAGTCAGTACCTGATCACTGAGAGGTTGACAAGCCGTCTGCTGACCTAAATCATTGTGCAATAATGTAAAAGGGCAGAAGAAAATAATTTCCTGATACCCACAACATGAATTGCTGTCCTGGCTACTCAGTTATCCCTCTAAATATGGGTATCAACACATGAGACTGTCACGAAACTCTCAACAGTGCTTTCTTGAATCCTAATGTTGTGTATTATGCTTTACGTCAGACATATATTACACTTTACATCCTTGGGTGTATTTACATGTGCAATTTAGCATGTAGCAATAAACACTAGTGCAGTTTGCACTGGAATTTATTGTACCTGCGACTGTAGCACTTGAGCTGGGGTGGAGAATCCCTTGCTGGCAGGGGGCCAGCCTGTCTGCCCAGCGTTGCTCCACCCCAGCTCAATGTGCTGTAGGGGGGGTGGCTGGGACACAAGGGTGCTATAGTGTGGGGCTAGCCAGCCCTCCTGCCCCAGCCAGCCCTGTCACTGTCTACATGTATGTTTCGTCAAACGTAACTACTCTGCTGTAGCATAGTACTTGTCCCAGGCTACTATCTTACAGGGGAGTTGATTAGTTTACTGCAGCTTAATATCACCGCACATGTAGACAATGATGCTTTACTGTGGAGCTAACTAGTCTACTCTGTATATCTCGTGTGTAAATGCGCCATTTAGATGCCAATATCAGCAAAATAGAAAGTAATGCATAGTCCAGAAGACTATTCTACCCTTCAGGAAAAGGAGACTGTGGCACACATGACCCCTCCCAAACCTATTCCTTTGAATGAATATTTGGCCATAAAAGTGCTGTATAGTTACGTCTGTTCAATGTCCACGCGAGTTGGCCCCAAGCTGTTAAAGCAGTTAAGCCAAAAGAGGAGTGATTAATCTCCTTGGTTACAAGTTCAAATGATCTGTTGGACTGCAGGCCCCATCCCTTTTAGCAAATGAGACTCTTCCAATCATTTAGACTGGGGGAAGAAGCCATTCAAATTACATTTTGCAGGAAACCTTGGCCTACAGAGAGAGGTCCTCTAGTTCAAACGTACACTGGCAGGGAGTTGGATTAGCTGGTTTCATCCATCTCTAATGTTTCTTGCTTCCATGAGTCCTAGGGAGAGGGAGAGGAAGCAAAAGAGAACAAAAGGGAGAACTAAAAAGCTAGAGAAAGATGACAGAGGGAGGCTGCAGCCTATTTTTAATCTCAGAACCTGCTGCAAACGCTAATTCCAACTGCTTTCTAATACTCCAAATTCTGCTAAAGCCCCCACTTCTTTTCTTGCTGCTGACTTGAACTGATTTCATACTCCCACCTTTTTTTTCTGCATCTTGAAGTTGGGAGTAGAGAAGCAGTTTAGAGGCATTGTAAAGAAATTGAGTGGGTGGGAGCTGCTGAAGCAGTAGGAAGCAACCCCATGCTGGAACAATGTGGAGAGAGGG